ACGGGTGGTTGCCAGAGAGGAGGGGGGCTGGAGGGAGGCGCAAAATGGGTGAAGGTGATTAAGAGGTACAAAGTTCCAAGAATAAAATAAATAAGTCCCGGGGACAAGAAGTACAGTGTGGGGAATACAGTCAGTAATATTGTAATAACCGGGGACGCCTGGGTTGCTCAGCGATTGAGCATCTGCTTGTGGCCCAGGGCCTGACCCCAGGGTCCCGGGATCGAGTCCCACATCGGGCTCCCTGCAGGGAGGCTGCTTCTCCCTCTGCCTGGGTCTCTGCCTCTCTCTGTGTCTCTCATGAATAAATAAATGAAGTCTTTAAAAAATATATTGTAATAACCATTTATGGTGACAGGTGGTGACTACATTTCTGTGGTGAGCATAGAACTGTCAAATTGCTATTTTGTGCACTCGAAACTAATAGAACATTATATGTCAACTCTACTCCATTTTAAGCTAAAAAGATACAAATTGAGAATTTGCAATCACAGGTCTGCTCCCATGCAGTCCTGAAATTACATGTACTCTATCCCCATAGACAAGGAAATCCTGAGTAAGAAATTAAATTGAGGGACTTCTAGGTGGCTCAGGGGTTGAGCATCTGCCTTCAGCTCAGGGACTGAGTCCGGCATCGGGCTCCCCGCAGGGAGCCTGCTTCTCCCTCTGCCTGTGTCTCTGCCTTTCTCTCTCTCATGAATAAATAGGTAAAATCTGAAAAAGAAGAAAGAAAGAAAGAAAGAAAGAAAGAAAGAAAGAGAAGAAAGAAAGAAAGAAAGAAAGAAAGAAAGAAAGAAAGAAAAAGAAAAACTAAACTGAGACAGACCCAGGAAGCCTGGGTGGCTCAGCTGGTTAAGCGTCCAGCTCCTGGTTTCTGCTCTGGTTCCCGAGATGGAGTCCCGCATCCCTGCATCCCTGCATCAGGCTGTGCATTCAGTGGGGAGTCTGCTTGAGATTCTCTCTCCCTCTCCCACTGCCCCTCCCCTCCCTCTCATAAAATAAATAAATAAATCTTAAAAAAAAAAGCCCCTTGTGATTTACAGAAGCAAACAGAAGCTTTCTGGAGGAAAGCATCCCAGTTTAGGCCTTCAGGATTCCTACAGATAAAGCAGCATCCAACATAAACTCATAATAAAAAGATGACAAAACCCAAGGAAACAAACCATCATGACAAAGATTTAGATGCTCAGAACTTCAAATGTTTGAGTGTCTGAAATAGAGGAAGCCATAAAAAATGATATAAAGAAGATGATTTAAAAAAAGAGGCGGGGGGAACAAGGGCACCTGGATGGCTCAGATGGTTGAGCATCTGCCTTCAGCTCAGGTCCTGATCTCGGGGTCCTGGGAGCCTGCTTCTCGCTCTGCCTCTGCCTCTCCCCCTGCTTGTGCTCTCTCTCTCTCTCTCTCTGTATGTCTCAAATGAATAAATAAAAAAAATCTTTAAAAAAAGGGAATAATATATGTCTAAAAATTGGAAAAACCAGGCACATTTGGAGAAAAACACAAAAATCACTGTTACCAATGAAAATATATGCTTTGAAACTCTAACCTCCATGCAGTAAACAGCTGAAGAGAGAATCAGGGAAGGGGAGTGTAGGTCTGGAGGAGTTTTCCAGGAGGCAGCACAGAGAGACAAGGAGACAGAAGGCACGGAAGAGGGGTAAGGAGGCCGAGAAGAGAGAGGGAGAGTCTATGAGTAGGTGTCCGAGCTCCAGATCTGCGGGGTGGGGGGTGCTCACTGGAGGAGGGAGAGGTCGCAGGCTGTCCCAAGCAGAGGGAACAACGTGTGCGGTGGCCCTGAGGACCTCACCCAAAGCCAGTGTGCTAGAGCCCTTGCCTGGTTGGTGGCCTCATGTGGGGCAATGCTGCGGGGGGGACAGAGGTCTCAGACCCTCTTCCTGCCCAACAGCAGGATGTCCGCTGGGGAGCCAGCTGCAATGAAGGGGATGGCTGTGTAGGTGCTTGGCCTGCTCCATCCCTCCTTTGACTGCTAACTGTGCCCCTTCTCCACTCCCCACTGTCAGGTCAGTGGTCCACGTAGAGCTGACCCAGCCCTTCACACTTCAGGGGTGTACGTATGACCTTGGCCACCTGTCCCACAACTGAGAAGGCCTGGATCTGAAACTTTTGTTAGAACATCTGGGCAGAGGAAACCTGGGGCCACTGGGGAGAACGTTGGCCTGGGACAGCCATAAGATGGGGACAACACAAAAGAAACTGAGCCCTTTGAGCCCTGGATCCAGCTGTGCCTGAAGGACACCCTGGGCTCTGCAGTCACAGGGACGAATAACGCATTTCCTTTACTGCTTAAGCTGGTCTGCATGGGTTTTTCTGTCACACATAACTGCCTGCTTCATCAGGAAGCCCCAAGGCTGGGGACCCCATGGAGGCCCCTGGCCCGGCCCAGAGGAGGTGACAGCTGCCCCGGGCCTTGAGGGCGGCATCAGAGAGAGCCGGCAGCAGAGAGGTGTGCCCAGGCAGGCTGGCGTGGGTGTTGGCGGGCTTCCCGGGAGTCGGTGTAGCTCACCGGGCCGAATCCCTGCCCAGGCAGGCCCCGGGCCCCAGCCTGGCGCTCAGCAGCACCTCAATGTGGCCTCAGGCCTTGGCGAGGGCTGGTGCCTATGGAGGGGATGACGCCACAGAAGCCCCGCGTGGCGGGGGGGGCAGGCCGGGCCTCCAGGGGTCTCACCTCACGGGTGATGTGCGGAGTCCCAACCTCAGGAGTCAGCCACAGTATGGGAGTGGGGCGGAGTGGGGAAGCCGTCAGCCCACCCCTGTCCCCCCCACCAGACTCCAGACCCCAGACCCCAGCTTGGCCAGTGCCACGGACGCCCCCCACCCCGGGGAAGTGCCAGGCAGGTGCAGCGTGCGGGTCACCTGAGTGGGTTTCGGTGCCCACCGAGCTGTGCAGTGAAGTCACTTCAGATCCTTGGTTCCAGCAGACGCAGCAGCCAGCACGGTTCCGACATCTCTGCCTCTCTCGGCGCCTGTGTCTCTGCCTCTCTCTCTCTCTCTCTCTCTCTCTCTCTGTCTCTCATGAATAAATAAAATATTTAAAAATACATGTATTTTTTATTCATGGGGGGGGCAGAGGGAGAAGCAGGCTCCATGCAGGGAGCCCGACGTGGGACTCGATCCCGGGACCCCAAGATCAGGCCCTGGGCTGAAGGCAGGCACTAAACCGCTGAGCCACTCAGGGATCCCCATCCAGGCAGTTTTAAATCCTTGTCAACGTTAACTCCTGAGTCCTCGTCCAGAGGCTGAGCCCCGCTTCACAGGCGAGGACGCTCGGGCTCCAGCAGGCTGGAACTTGTCCAGAATCACAGGGCTCTAGCCCGGGTGGCCTCTCTCAGGGTCCGTGCTCTTAGCACCCCCACCACTGCTTGTCCTTGCCCTGGGGCCCAGGGGTGCAGTGAGGCCACCGGGGACCAGCAAGGCGAGGGGACTTGCCAGTTGTGTGGCAGCCGATGACCCAACCCTCCTGCCTCCTTGTCTGGCCCTTCCCTCCTACAGACAGGAGGCCGGGGCTTCAGATCTCAGAGGTCCCTGTGTTCCCCAGGCTGCTTTGGAGGCCGCAGGCAAGCTCTTACCCCGCAGAGGTGGGGCCCGTCTGGGCCCCTCCTCCCTCCTCTTGGTGACAGCCCGTGGGCAAGAGTGGGAAGCTGAGCTGGGGGCTTGTGGGCGTGTTTCGGGGAGAGCTGGCCGGTGGATTCAGGGACAGGAGCTGGAGAGAGGCAGTTTGGGCAGAGCCCCCAGCCTCCAGACCAGGAGGGTGGAGAGGACGCAGAGCTGTGCCCCAGCACTGCGAGGTCAGAGGGAGACCCTGGCCAGGAAGGGCTGTGTGGATGGGGGTGCTGGCTCCCCTGCTGATGGGCAGGGCAGGCTGGGGGGCGGGGCTCCAGGGGGACCTGGGGTCCTGTTGAAGGCTTCAGTCCCCACCCTCAGCCCTCTGCACCCCACCCAGCACTGTTCTCCTGTTTAGGGGGGCCCTGGTGCCCGAGTGGGAGTCCAGGGCAGCAGGTGGCTCAAGACCCTGAGGGAGACCTCCTCCAGCCTCGCTGGCAGCAGAGCAGCGGGCAGCCCCGTCTGACACCACGTGACAGTGCCTTGTGGTCACAGGACCCAGGCCCACCCACAGACAGCAGAGTGACGGCAGCTGACCACTTGGATTCACCCCCTGGGGACCCCAGCTGGACATCCCAGGGAGAAGGAATGTGGAGGGAATCTCCTGGAGGGCTGAAGATGCAGAGGGAGGCCTGAGGACTGGGGGAAGGTACAGGGGGAGTTGTGAGGGCCTAGGGCACTTTGGGAGACCTTGGGGATCTGGGGTCTGGGGGATTTTGGGGGGGCCTTGGGGTCTTGGAAGACTTTAGGAAACCCCCAGATCCTCAGGGGCTGAGGTGGGGGGGGGAGTTGGGGAGTTCTGAATGGACTGGAAGCATTGAGAAGCCATGGAGGGCTGTGATGGGTCTTCAGGGGCCTTGGAGGGATCACGGGGGTCTTGGGAGACCTCAGGGGTCTTGGGAATCTCTGGAGCCTTGCAAGATCTGGGACGTCTTGTGAGACCTTGGGAAATCTTTGTGAATTTAGGGGGCTGTGGGGGGCTTTCAGGGACTCAGAGGGACCTGGGGGCTGTTGGCAGGCCTGGGGAATGGGGCAGCCACCCAAGGGCCCAGGTTGTGCCAGCAGTTGTGGCCCGGGCACATAGCTTCACCTCCGGGGGCCCTGGCTCCCCTCTGGGTGATGGGAAGATCCCAGCACCCCCACCAGGTCCGTGAGATTGAAATGAACACGGTGACAGGCCTGTCCCTCCCAGACCCTTCTTGCTGTCACATCCGGACCCTCTGAGGCCACAGCTCCCCACACATTCCCCCTCCGCATGAGCTCACTTCCCATACCCACCGAGGCCGGGGGTTACCCAGGTGTTTGGGCAGGTGGGGAATGAAGTCCCATCATACAGCCCCCCGCGGGAGGCGTCGCCCTATCCCCAGAGTTCCTCTCACATGGGACCCCAGCTGAGGTGGATTAGCTTTGATGGCCTCTCCAAGGCCGTGGAGGCTTTCCTGCCAGGAACGGACGTGACCAGGATGGGCTTGGCCCTTCAGGAGGATGACCCTGGCGGCTGGAGTCCTGGTGACAGCTGCATGGCGGGGGGTTGGCAGGAAGTTGGACCTGGCCCCATGGGTGGTGCAGGCTCCTGCACTCCCAGCCACCCCCTGTCCCCCGCAGACCCATGGGGACCCTGCCTCTGGGCCTGCACCATGGGCCTTTCCTGTTCTCTCCATCACCAAAGTTGAGCCTCGGTCTGGGCCACTGTCTGCCCCATGGACAACGCCAGAACTCTCTAATCAGTCCCCTGTTCCCCACTCTGACCTGGTCCCTCCAGATCTATCCTTCTCCAACGGCCAGAGCGGTCTCTGTAAAATGCAACCCTGCCCTCCTCAACTTGGGGCATCTCCAGCGCTCTCCCGGCCACCTGCCCGCAGCCTCCTGCCCCTCCTCCTGTCCCCCAGAAGCCCAGTCCAGCTGGGGGCCTCGGCTGCTCAGAGCTGCCCGGAGCCCTGGCCTCGGCGGATGCAGGAGCTTGTGCCAGCCTAGGTGTGGACGGCCCACTGCTTCCTTCGCTGGGAAAGCCAGCTGGGACATGCGGCTGCTGAGCCACAATTTTGGGGGGGGGGGGCTCTGCGCCCTGACCGAGCTGCTCATGTCGGGGTGACCACACTGGCCACTGTGCTGCCCGCCTGCGTTCCGCATCCTCTGGGTTAGAGTTGCCCATCCGGGAGGTCTGCGGGGGCTGCCAGAGAAGGTTCCCCCAGGCGGCAAGGGAGGCACAGGACAGGCCTCTCGTCAGCCCTGCGTCCAGGCCCATCCAGGTGCTTGGGGCTGACCGGAGCCCTCAGGGGTCGGTGCTCACCCCGCCAGGCACTGTTTTGAGGGCTTTAGAGAAGCCAGTGCACTTCTACCCCGTGAGGTAGGCGCAAGCACTCTCCTGATTTCACAGAGGAGGAAGGGGGCACAAAGAGAGAGAAAGGTCCCACGCCCTGGTGGCTGATGGAGCGGGAATCAGACCCCAGTCGGCCTCCAAAGCCCCTGCAGGGCTCTGTCCCCATCAGGCCACTTGGGCTCACCCTGGTCCCCCCCCCCCCCAGTCGCTGTGCTGCCTTTCAGTTCCTTGAATGTCTTTCCCACCTCAGGGCCTTTGCACGGCCTCTTCTTTCTGCCTGGAACACTTTTCTCACTGATTGTCTCATTCTGGGGTCTCGGTTCAAATGTTCCCTCCACACAGGGGTGTGAATGGCTGGGGCTGGGAGTGAGGTGCCCTCCGTGGATGCCTTTTGTACCTTTTGAATATTGAACGACCTGATTGTATTACCTACCGTCTCAGTCAGCTTGGCCGCCTTCAGAAATGCCACAGTCTGGGTGGTGGGGGGAGCCGGGGGGCCTCAAACACCAGACATTTGTTTCACACGGTTCTGGAGGCTGGAAGTGTGAGACCAGGGTGCTGTGGATTCAGTTCCTGGTGAGGGCTCTCTCGTTGGGTGTGGACGGCGCCTTCACACTGTGTCCTCACGTGGCCCTTCCTCGGTGCTTACAATCCAGCGGCGGAAAGATCTTTCTCTGTCTCTGTCTCTGTCTCGTCTCATAGGGCACTAATCCCATGAGGGGCTCAATATGAATGGGGGGTACCCAAAATTCGGTTCATATCACCTACTCAAAAATGATCATTTTAAGAAATTTGGAAAGTCATATGACTTCACACTTATTAGGATGGCTATTATTTTATTTTTATTTTTTTGAGAGCGAGTGAGCAAGAGAGAGAGAGAGAGAGAGAGATTCGTAAGCCCATATTCGTACATCGCAAGCAGCGTTATTCACAATAGCTGAAAGGTGGACACAACCCAAGTGTCCGTCAACGGGTAAACGAAATGTGGTCCATCCACACAATGAAATATGATTCGGCCTCTAAAAGGGAAGAAATTCAGGGCCCCTGGGTGGCTCAGCGGTTGAGCGTCCGCCTTCAGCTCAGGGTGTGACCCTGGGGTCTTGGGATAGAGTCCTGCATCGGGGTCCCTGTAGGGAGCCTGCTTCTCCCTCTTCCTGTGACTCTTCCTCTTTCTGTGTCTCTCATAAATAAATAAAATATTTAAAAAGAAAAGAAAAGAAAAATCTGAATGGACAAATGTCACTGTTATAACATCTTCCCGAAGGGTACAGAATGAGAGAAAGTAGGAAAATGATGTTGGAGAAGCCTGAAAAAGGCACCCTCAGCCAGGTGATTGAGGTCAACATCATGGGGACCCATCAGGTTGACAGCCCAAGGGATGGAATGAGGGGCCCTGGGCTTCTGAGGCCTTCCTCCCCAAACCCATGACCCCAGTCCAATCCCGAGAGAAACACCAGGAAAATCCCAGTCAAGGGACATCTACAAAAATGCCCAGTCCTCCTTGAACCATCAAGATTGGTGACAACAAGGAACGAAGGAGAGACCATCACAGCCCAGAGGAGCCCAGGGACACGCGACCAATGACTGTAATATAGTGTCCTGGGTGGGGTCTCGGAGCACAGATGTGTATGAGGTGGAAATAAAGTCAGTCTGAACCCAACATGGACTTTGGTTGACAATGGTGTATTGACACCGATTCGCTCATTGTCAGAGATGCAGTGGCCCCACAGGATGACATCTGGGGGCACTGGGTGTGGGGGACGAGGCAACTCTGAAGAATTATTGCAATTTTTCTGTAAATCTAACTCTTCTGAAAAAAGTTAAAAAAAAAAAAAAAGGGATCCCTGGGTGGCGCAGCGGTTTGGCGCCTGCCTTTGGCCCAGGGCGCGATCCTACAGACCCGGGATCGAATCCCATGTCGGGCTCCCGGTGCATGGAGCCTGCTTCTCCCTCTGCCTGTGTCTCTGCCTCTCTCTCTCTCTCTCTCTCTGCGTGTGACTATCATAAATAAATAAAAAAATTAAAAAAAAAAAAGAAATCAAAAGTCTCAGTCTGGACAGACCTTCCTGCAGACCAGGAAGCGGTCTTGCCCTCCTTCCGGGCCTGGGCACCCACTCATTCCCCGCCGGCACTCAGAGCCCCGGGGCCTCTAGCAGGGGGTGAGTGGGGCGGGCACCCCTTGAGCCCTCAGCGCCCGGCATTTCCCGTATCCCAAAGGCCCTGATCTAAGACCCCCCAACCCCCGCCAGGGCCCCGTGCTAGGGAGCTGGAGGAGAGGGCATGCGCTTGACCCTGTGTGAGCGGGATGGGGTCCGCCATCTCCAGGACCAGGGAACACTTTGAGGGGGACAGCGGCCTGACCCCTACGTCCCACCACCCTCTCCCATCAGCCTCCCCTCTCTCCCTCCCTCTCTTCCTTCCTCTTCAATTGTCTGTTGGTTCCCCAGCAAGACAATATAATGAAATTAGCTGCTGACCTTCGATTCCTTCTCTTTCTTCCTTTTCTCCATAATCTGATTCAAAATCACATATTTATGTCCAGTTAACACCTGCAAGGTGAGCAGCAAGCTGACCTTTCCTACCCCCTCTCCATTCCTCCCCAGGAGCCATCCCCAGTTTAATTCTGAAGATAAACCACGCTCAGTGCTGCTCATCAACCCTTATCCTGCTGTCTCTCCATTTCCACTTTCCGGCGCTATTTCACTAGCAGGTCGCGTCCCTCGAGTCTCATCGGAGCAACAACCCGCCACCAAGAGCAATTTCTCTGCATTGACCCCGAAGGCCGTTTGGGCTGGACCTAGGACTCGGCTCCCGTGTTGTTCCTTGGGTCTGGGAATCCGCCCTCTGCACGATGCATGCCGTCAGCAGTCGCCCGCCATCTGCTTGTGCTTCCTTGTAAGTGAAGGAACTTTCTCGTCCGGGTGTCCAGAGGATTTCCTTTTCTTTCTTTAAAATGCAGTGGCCGAGGCCTGCGCGGCGCAGCTGTTGCCATGGCTCCCGGAGCCCGCGGCGGGCGGCGGGCAGCCTCGCCGGGCGGCTGCTAGCTCGGGCGGTGAGGCGGCCCAGGAAGCGGAGGGACTGCGGTGCCACTGCCGGCCCTTTGGTGTGGAAGAACGGCAGTGAGCCACTCCGTGAAGGAGCGGACCATCTCCGAGAACAGCCTCATTATCCTGCTGCAGGGCCTCCAGGGCCAGGTGACCACCATGGACTTGCGGGACAAGATCGTGGCCCGCGGCCGCATAGACAACGTCGATGCCTTCATGAACATCCGCCTGGCCAACGTCACCTACATGGACCGCTGGGGCCACCAGGTCGAGCTGGAGGACCTCTTCGTGACGGGCCGTAATGTCCGTTATGTCCACGTCCCCGATGATGTGAACATCACGGCGACAATTGAGCAGCAGCTGCAGGTCATCCACTGGGTGCGCAACTTCGGCAGCAAGGGACAAGGCCGGCGCGAATTTCCCTCCAAAAAGTATAAATGAGCCTCTTCCCCAGCGAGCCCCTGTCCCCGCACAGGTTTCCCCAGAGTTCTACTGAGTCAACTGCCTGCTACCCTCCCTGTCCTGAGCCCGGAGAGAGAGTGAGCGGGGCCGGCCCAGAAACCGGTGTCTCCCACAGACACCCCCTGTCACAGCTGCCTTTCACCGGGTCCCATCTCCTAGACTGTCTCTGGGATCCTACTTACCTGTCCGTGGCCTTGATCGTTTACATCAGAATCTGATTTACTGATTTAGGGACTCTGCCAAATAGTCTTCAGCCCTCTCCCAGTGAGGATTATCAAGTGTACCCAGCGTGGGGCGCCTGGGTGGCTCAGTTGGTTGAGCGTCTGCCTTCAGCTCAGGTCATGATCCCTGGGGTCCTGGGATCAAGCCTCACATTGGGGCTCCCTGCTCAGCAGGGAGTCTGCTTCTCCCTCTCCCTCTGTGTACCCTTTCTCTCTGTCTCTCTCTCCGTCTTAAATAAAATCTTAAAAAAAAAAATGCAGTGGCTGCACTTGCCGCCATCTCAGAGTTCGTCATTCCAGGCCCACAACCCCCCACCATGCCTGCTCAGCTCCGTAGGCCCAAGGACAGAGAGGGCTGTCACCCCTCCACCACCTCCTCCCTCTGGCCTGCCTTCCCTCAGATGTCCACCTTGGACTGAAAACACCTCCTCCAGGAAGCCCCCAGCCCCCAGGCTGTGGCAGGTCCTGCCTCTGTGCTCCTAGCCCCACTGACCACTTGGGCTGGCACCCCAGGGTCGGATCCTGTAAGAAGGTCTACAAGGGCCAGGTCGGACAAATGTCAGCCTCTGCATGGCTGCGGAGTAGGTGAGGGGTGAGAAGGAAGGAGGCTTAGTCACCACTCTGCAAAGTAGGAAACTGAGGCGCACAGCTGGGAGGGTCTTGCCAGGGTCACACAGCAGGTAAGACAGTCCAGGTGAGCTGACACAGCTTCCTGCCTCAAGGAGGTAGAAGGCAGGTCTGCTGCGGGGGGAGATCCTGGACGGGAGGTTGGGGGGACCCCCAGGTAGGCCCCCCCGGGAACGTGGCGCCAGCCCCTGCACTGCCGCCTGCTGCCACGAGGTGGCACGCTCCGTTGGCCTCAGCAGCCAGAACCCAGAGTTTGGCGGCAGGCCCCGTCCCAGGCTGGCGGGCTGGGGGTCTGCACTCCGCGGCCTCCGGAGCCTGGCCCAGCCCCGCTAAGGAGCCACGGTTCCGGCAGGGCCCCCGCTCGGCAGAGAAGGCAGTCTCCCGGGGCCACCGGCCCGGACCAGCCCTTCACACCTTGCATTGATCTGTGTGCTAATCCCGCCCAGAGCTGCTCCTATTCCCTCTCCTGAGCCCCTGAGGCAGCTCTTCTCAGAGCAGTGCTGGGCCCGTGGTGGGCGCGGGGGGGGGGGGGTCCATTTCTTCCTGAAAAAGCTGTTATTGAGCTGATGGTGCCTCTGACCCAAGAGCATTTTAAAGTCAAAGGAGTCCTACGACCCAGCAATTGCACTGTTAGGGATTTACCCCGAAGATTCAGATGCAATGAAACGCCGGGGCACCTGCACCCCGATGTTTCTAGCAGCCATGTCCACAATAGCCAAACTGTGGAAGGAGCCTCGGTGCCCATCGAAAGATGAATGGATAAAGAAGATGTGGTTTATGTATACAATGGAATATTACTCAGCCATTAGAAACAACAAATACCCACCATTTGCTTCAACGTGGATGGAACTGGAGGGTATTATGCTGAGTGAAGTAAGTCAATCGGAGAAGGACAAACAGTGTATGTTCTCACTCATTTGGGGAATATGAATAATAGTGAAGGGGAATATAAGGGAAGGGAGAAGAAATGTGTGGGAGATATCAGAAAGGGACACAGAACATAAAGACTTCTAACTCTGGGAAATGAACTAGGGGTGGTGGAAGGGGAGGAGGGCGGGGGGTGGGGGTGAGTGGGTGACGGGCGCGGAGGGGGACACTTGACGGGATGAGCACTGGGTGTTATTCTGTATGTTGGTAAATTGAACACCAATAAAAATTAATTTATAAAAAAAAAATAAAATCAGAAATGAAAAAGAGAAACATAAAAAAAAAAAATAAAGTCAAAGGAGTGTGCAAATAAAGGGCGGGGACGCCTGGGTGGCTCAGTGGTGGAGCGTCTGCCTCAGGGCGTGACCCTGGGGATCCAGACACCCCCCCCCCCAGCATTGGGCTCCCCGCAGGGAGCCTGCTTCTCCCTCTGCCTGTGTTTCTGCCTCTCTCTGGGTCTCTCATGAGTAAATAAATAAAATCTTAAAAAAAAAAAAGCTTCTGGGTGTCTTCTGACCACTCCACGCAACGTTGGCTGAGCACCTACTATGTGGAAGGCGCTCCCACGTACTCAGGTCTAAACGTGTGTCAATTCCCACGGGACATACAGAACCCGGGGAACCTCGGGCCCCTGGATGGCCAGGCAGGCCCTGCACATCCTGTTCCAGACCCTTCCTCGGAGGCCTCCCCCACCCACGGCCTCCCCTACAGGCTGCCTCTTGCCTCTTCAGTGGTAGAGACCACAGCTTCGTGGAGGGCGTTTTACTTCTTCACATCACAGACGAGGAAACAGGCTCAGAGGGCCCGGTGGTGGGTCCAAGGACGCGGAGCCGAGGGCATGTGTACGGTGGTCCCGACCTTCCGTGGGCAGGGCTCTCACGGTCTCGGACGCTGGGGCCATAGCTCAGAATCAGCAGCTGGGAGGAGAGCGGGTCCCCAAGAGAGATGTTGGGGGGGGTGTCCATGCTTAGAGTCCGTGGGGGCAGCAGCTCTGAGGCTGGTGTCCAAGGGGCACCTGGGGGAGGGTGGCCAGGAGGAAGGGAACACCAAGGGGCTCTGGCCCAGAGCTGGGATGAATGAGGAAGCCCCTATGGCAGTAGGCTCTGGCTGCTAGGGACCTCTGGGCAGGCTGGCTCTTCTAGAAGAGTCTAGGATGGACGGAGTGGCCCTGTAGGAGCAGTCAGGGAAGGCTTCCTGAATCAGAGGGCACTGGAACATGGGTGTGCCTGAAAGGAGCACGTCTGGGATCCCTGGGTGGCGCAGCAGTTTGGCGCCTGCCTTTGGCCCAAGGCGTGATCCTGGAGACCCGGGATCAAATCCCATGTCGGGCTCCTGGTGCATGGAGCCTGCTTATGTCTCTGCCTCTCTCTCTCTCTCTCTCTCTCTCTCTGACCATTATAAATAAATAAAAATAAAAAAAAAAAAAAGGAGCACGTCTGTGGGAGTACGAGAGGTAAGACGGCCAGAGAAGAACCAGCGTTCCCGTTCCCAGGCTTGCAGAGGGCGGTGGTAGGGCCCTGCTGCAGGCCAGGCCCTAGGCTGGGGGGCTGGACGGGGTCAGCTGTGGTCCCTGTCCTCACGCAGAGCACGCAGAGCTCGGGCTGACCCAGGAGACAGCCTCAGAGGCGAGGGCCATGCCCCGGTCTTGGCGCTGGGATGGGGCAGCCAAGGCCCCTGGCTGGCTGAGCAGACGCATCTCTCAGTGGCTGGGCCCTCTGCATCTCTTTCCCTGCCTCTCTCACCTACGGCTCTGGGCTCTGTCGTCGCACCTCCAGGTCTCCGGGCCCCTCCTATGATTGCATCCGGACGTCTGCGATGACGCTCGACCCGCATGGGTAATGTGGGGTCATCTCTCCAACCCCATGTCCTTCGCTCACTCACATCCACCAAGTCCCTTCTGCAGGTAAGGCAATAAGGCCACTGGCTCTGGCAATCGGGGCCTGGGCGTCTAGGGGGCCGCTCTTCCTCTCACCCCTGTGTACGATGAAGTGCTTAGTGCTGTGAGGAAAGTGCAAGCAGGAGAGGAGGTCAGGGTGGACCTCAGAGAGGAAGTAGCACTTGAGCAAGTGCCCGAAAAGGCCTCGAGGGTGGAGCTGTGCAGACCTGGGTGGCACCACACAGTCAGAAGGGGCAGCAGGTGTGTCCTTGGGCAGCAGGGGGCCGTGTGCCCGTGAGTGGCCTAGCAATGACGTGGGTGCTAGGACTTTCAATCAGAGAAGCCGGGGTGGCTGGGGGGCGGGTGGGCCTGGCTGGGTCTGTATGGGTCCCACCTGCCCTGGTGTGGAGGTAGGGGTGGGGTGAGGTGGCTCTGGAGTACGGATTCCAGGGGCGCCTCGGTGGCTCAGGTCATGGTCCCGGGGGCCTGGGATTGACCCCCGCGTCAGGCTCCCTGCTCAGCGAGGAGCCTGCTTCTCCCACTCCCTAGGCCGTTCCTCCTGCTTTGCTTTCTCTGTCTCTAATACATAAATAAAATCTGTTAAAAAAAGAAATGAAGTGAGGACTCCAGGCCCCACCGGTGGGCCCCGGGTGTGAGGGCCGGTGGGAGTGGGGTGCAGCCAGCCCCCCTAGGGAGTGCTGCCAGGCATGGTCAGAGCATGGCACAAAGGGAAGTGTGGGAGAAGTTCTGAGGGTGGAGGGATTCGGGGAGGGTGTGCGGGCCGTGCAGAGCCCCGGGGGAGTGGGGGGACGGGCACAACGGGGTGTGAGGCAAGTTCCCCGGGGGGCCTCCCCTCCTCCCCGCCCCCCCTCCTGCTTTCTGCATGCCTTGGTTTGGCTGCCAACATCCCCTGCTTTTGCTTGTCACCCAGGGGTTCACTTGAGTCCAGTCATCCTGCCGCCTGGATGCTCGCTGGGGCTGTAAGGCCAGGAGACTGGTGCTGGGGGTCCAGCTGGCCCTGGGGTTGAGAGGGGACTCCGGGCCACCTTCCCAGAGCTGCCACCACAGCTCAGAATTTGGCAATGTCCCCTGGGGGCAGTTTAGAGCAGAGGGCCGGGAGTTAGCAGGGGCCTCCCCAACCACCTGCGGTGTGGCCCTGGGCGCGAGGTGGCTGTTCTGAGCCTGGGCTTTGCAGTAGTTTGCTCAACCTGAATACCACAGACTTGGGGGTCGGGGCGGTGCTTGGACAACAGATTTATTTCCCCTGGGTTCTGGAGGCTGGAAGTGGGAGGACAAGGTGGGCTGGTTCCTTCTGAGCTCCTCTCCCAAGCTGGCAGATGACCCTCCTCTCCCTGGGTCCTCACAGGGTGGCCTCTCCGGGTGTGCCTGTGTCCTGACCTCTTCCTCTGCTAAGGATCCCAGCCAGACAGGGGTAGGCCCACCCTGAGGACCTTGTTTTGACCTAATCACCCCATCTCCAAACACTCTGATATTCTGAGGTTCTGGGGTGGAGGAGAGTTAGGGCTTAAGCACATTAATCCTGGGGACGCAGGTCAGCCTGTGACAGTCCCCGTTTGTAAATGGGGTGACAGGATGGCTCTGAGGAGCCACCACCGAGTGGGGCAGTGTGGACGCCCCAGAACACGAAGCACCCGCTCTGGGGGGTGTCAGGTCTGAGCCTGCGCAGGGGACAGGGAGCAGATCTGGTTTTACTCCCTGGGGCAGCAGCAGGCGCAGAGTGGCCACCCAGCAGACCCGGCGGGAGGGTCTAGTTTGAGGTGGATTTCTGTCATTTGTGAAC